CCCCAAAACCCCAAAACCCCAAAACCCCAAAACCCCACGATAGTCTTTACATTAAGGATAATTAGATCAAAATAAGTATGCATATCATTTAGATATATATGCTGTATGTAATACGTTAGAATTTTCTAGCCAACTCTCATCATCAAGAAGCAATCTATCCTCCTATATTATTGTTAAATTTTAAATGGAAATTACAAAATTTTAGAGTGGTGGATCAAATTTTTCTTCCATTCCAAACGGATTAATTGAATCTTAAGCTTAGTCAATTTTTAATATGTGCTCTCTAATAGAATTCACCACAAGATCACTAAGCTATTATTTAGCATCAGTTTCATAAATTCTATTCATTTAGCAAAATTCCTGAATTGTTTAGCCTAAATTTTAGCTTTTCCTTAGCATGATTTGCTGAATACTATTTAAGTGGTTTAAAATCTAATAATGGTTACTTTTCTTGTTCAACTTAGACGTCAATGATCAAATAGGGTTCATCCTCTTCATCTTCTTGAATAATATTCGAAAGATTAGTCTTTACATTTTTACTGAAATCTAATGCTCTCACCGAAGTCTCCTTTTATTTTTATTAATCTTTGCTCTTGTCTCTATTTTAGCTTTTATCATTAAGTCTGGACCTGCTCTAATTTGATTGATATTATTCGATTTAAGTGGTATCTCTTAATGTCTCCTGGAAAGCTTTTAATTTTGGAATACTACCAGCTCTTCTTAATCTTTCTACAATTTCTTCATAACCTTTTATGGAAAGTGATTAAGTTTTCTTGTGATTTGCAGGGACCTTCGAAATCTATGGTCTAAAGGTACATTCATTGAATTACTATATTTCTGAAGGTCTATTTCTTGCTGTCTTTATTGACGCCTATTTCTAGGTGAGTCTTTCAAGAGATTTATTGTAATTTTATGACATTTTGAAATCATTATTGATTTAAGGCCTAAAGCTACACTGTTATTGTTCATTTTCAATTGATATTTCCTTTAACTATTATCTCTTCTATTGTTACTCCTATGCTTTCTTATACAGCTAGTCAGTTCTAACTATAGCCATTGCTTTATCTCTAGCTTTAGTTTGATAGTTTAGATTTAGTCTACTTATTGTTTAAGTTAGAGTTTTTGAATGTGCTGACTCTTCCTCCTCAGCAATAAATAATAATGATCCATCAGGATTCATTACATCATGTCTGGGAACATTTTCTTTTTATTATATTTTGTTATTTATGACTGGCTTAAAAGTGCAATCCTTATAAATCTCTTACTTAGTAGTCTTTTACTTTTCCTATAGTAAATTCTTTAAAAAAACATTATGATCCCTTAGATTTTCAAAAGTTTTAAGCAACTTTTCTATGTCCCAATTTTCATGAACCTTTTTATTTTTATTTCTGAATAAGTTTTATTGCAGATCTATATCGAATTCATTTTCATATTTCATATCTTTAATCAAAGTCACGATATCAGAAAGTTGGTTTATCTTGTCACTCCTGAGTTAATACTAATCAATGAGCAGGACTAACACCTCCTTTAGTAGTTCTGAATTTATATCATCAAATAGAAATGGATTCAAGGTATTCCATAACTGCTTAATGATGTATAACTCCTCAAAATACTTATTCTCAAGTGTTTATAATCTAATTTACTGATGCTTGATTAATTAAGGATTTTCCTGGAATTTTTGTTTGAGAATGTTTAACTCTTATAAAGATCTAAATACTCCTAATTTATCCAGGATCATTTGCAATTAGTCAAAATTAATGTAACCATCAGACTATTTACTAAATTAGCTTACTACATGCTCTACTAATTTTTTAATTCTATTTTAAGCAAGTTGTTAGGAATTTTTGTTGATCTTTTTTTATTTAGCTTTCTATTCAATTTCTTCTCTTGCATTTTATTGATAGTACTACTTATTTTTCATCCTTCTTAAATGGTCTTAGTAAAGTATATCCTCGACATTGTTGTTATCATAAACATCACAAATCATCTTCTCACTCTTTTTATTTATCTTTGGCTTAGATTACTTCACTCTTTGAGTTTCTTCTAGCTGATACATGAACTCTCGTTTGAGTTGGTGGATGTTTTATTAGATAACGGCTTAATTATATAATCTACTGAATGGATTACCCTATTATCGATTAGCTAATTTCTCATTTTAAGCCTTTGACATCTTATCAAGATTCACTTAGGACTCTAAAAACATATTTAGACTGTAAAAATTAGAAATTTACTGTTTGATATAAGAGTCTTTGAATCGATGGTAATTTTGCTTAGACTACGATCAAAAGATTTTTCACCATGAATTTTATTGCTTTTGTAGTAATTACTGTTGCCAATATCTGGTTCTACTGATTTTGTCTGACTTCTAAGATTATTTTAATCCTAACTTAAGAATTAAAGGTTGGACTAATTCAATAATGAGACTTGATCAATATCCCTTGTTATAAAATTATCTGAAATATCATCACAAGCATCGTCTGAACTCACATAATTTTCATCTTAGTTATGGATTTGCTTATTCATATAAGATTCATAGTGTTGTAAAGGTGAGATGCTTTATAAATGGTTTCCTTCGACAAAGCTTTAGTATGGAGTCAGTTTCGAAGTAGATTTTTTATGCTTGGATTTTGGCTAGTCTACGAAAGACTGTGCTAAGAAACTTTTGGACATGCTCATCATCATGCTAGCCCCTAGAGGACTCTTGTTCATATGCTCTCTGTCAATCATCGTGGTTCCGCCTCCAGTACTACCACTTCCCAATCCAACTCATTAGGTCTATCCATTGGCTATAGAGTTATGCCTAGCTTGGTAATTAGTATTTGAGTTGAAGGGGATGCTCTCGTAGATCTTGCAACTCCTCTCAAAGTCGAATTGATTCTTTTCGTCTTCGATTTCATTTGTTTCCAGACTCTCCATTGACTCCATATAGCCGGGGCTTCTTACCTATTGTATTTTCATTTTTATAATTCATATTCAAACGTTCAAAATTATTATAAGCACAAACTCAGGGGTTTTGGGGTTTTGGGGTTTTGGGG